GAATTTCAACTTCCAACCTTTAAATGATATTTTGAATTGTGAAATTTTCGAAGGAAATAAATTTTTGTTGCTAAGAAATTGATCTATAAGAAATCTTACTCTAATAAAAGATTTTTTTAAAATCCCTTTGTTGTTAAACAAACTATTTGCTTTACATGAGCTGTAGTCACATGTTAGTATTTCCATTCCATTCCGAAGTCGTTCCTTGCAGATTGACCACAGATTCTCGATTGGATTTAAATCAGGAGAGTTTCGGGCCAGTTCTATAGTACTTTGATTTGCTCACTGGTAAGGCTTGCCATTGTGTTCGTGCAGCGTTACAATTTTTTTCGTACGCTTCCTTGGAGTAACGTCCATCGCAGACAATGGGTAGGGACAACTAATCGACAGTCGAGACAATAGTGTCTGGGCGTGATAAAAATCTGATGCAATCACGGATGACGCAATATTTTTCAAATCCAAACAAATTTCATCATACACCCCGAAAATAGATTCATATTACTTCACACTACTGCAAATGACCTTATCTAAAAAAAAAATAGAAATCGATTACACCCTGTCACTCCAGCGGTTCTAAAACTAACCATATGGTGAAGGAAAGGAAACTAAAGCGATTGTTTCAATTAATTTGCACAAGAATGTAGTCATTGTAATAAATGTTTCTTTCTCAGCAAATATCACAAGATTCTTTTGTTTCGTTTTTTTTTTTTTTTTTTTTTTTCGTTTACGCCGTTCAAAATACTCAATGGAAATTTAACACTCTGTAAATAAAATCTATATTAAAAGAATTTATATAAAGAGAAAATTCCCAATATACATTTATCCTTGGTGAAATATAAAATGTTTTAAAAATTTTTTAAATGGCAAAAAAAAAATTTAATGAATCAAAAAATTGATGTCATTTGTTGTTTCTGGAAGAATTTTTTTGAGATTATGTGTGTATTTATTAATTTCTCTGGATTTATAATTATATATATATTATTTTTATTTTAAAAAAAAAAAAATACATGCATTACCCAAATCGTTTGCTCGTGTCAGTGTAGATTATTTATGTTAAAATAGGTCATAAATCCAAGTGAATTGTTGGCGATTTGAAGCTTAACAGAAAAAGGTCCATCTATAATGTTATAATTATAATTTTATTGGGAAAAATTTAAAATTCAATAATGGTTGTATCGTCTAAAACATTTAGGAGGTCGATTTTAAATTTAAATTTCTGAAATTTTGTTTGTCCGTTTTTCCAACACATTTTGAAGTTATCGATCATTTACTTTTTAATATCTTTAGTTAAAATGAAAATTTAACAAATATCATAAAATAAAAAATAAATTTGAAATAAATTTTTTAAAAAAAAGGATTTAAATGCCACCCTTTATGAAGAGAACAAGAAAAATCAAAAATTTTCAGCCTCAGTAAAAAAAAAAAAGAAAAAGAATTTTTACTTAATTTCCATGTTTTTATAAATATGGAAGCAAAAATATAAAATTTTTTCTGGGTTAAATTTTGTTTGTTTTTTTTTTTTTTTTTTTTATATTCCATGTATATATAAAAATGTTTCAAAAAAAAAAATAAAAATTTTAAACCGAAAAAAAATTAAATAAAAATTAATGACCTTTTTTCAAAAAAATAAAAAGTTAATTAACAAATTAGTTTTGAATTTTAACATAAAAAAAAAAAAATTCGGCTGAAAACAAATAAAATATCAAACAAAAAAAAAGAAAATTTAAATTTTTCAATGAACTGTGAGCAATGTATAAAAGAATGATCAAAAGATAAATAAAAAAAAGGCAAAATAAAATGTGACAGGAAAATTTCAGAAAAATTTTTGAAAACTTTGACAGAACTTCAGAACCATGCCATTGATTTGTTTTTTTTCTTTTGAATAAATTTATTTTCTTCTTTGAAAATAATGGGGTTATATATTTTTAAATAAATTCATATTTATCCTGTAATCATATAATATTAATATTTACTTTTTTGGCTGAATCCAGATATAGTTTTTTTTTTATTTTTTTAATTTTTTTTTAATTTGATTCAGCAACCAAATGGATAATATGTATATTCAAAAACCTTTTTTTTTTAAAAAATAAATCCATTAAAACATATATAAAAAAATATCCCAAAGTTTTCATGATTAAGAATAAATAAAAATGATAATACTGGAAAATTTCAATTTTAATCCTCGATATAATTTATCACCTAAAATAATAGTTATGTTAAAATAATTAAATTGATATTTTTTTAATATTATTTAAATAAAGTAGAAATTTTAAATTTTTTATTATTTTTTTAATTGGGATAAAAAATACATCCATTCATAATATATAAAAATTGAATGACAGAGATCATATATAAAATAAATGTAAATATAGTCTTGTAAATTCATTTTGCTTTTTATATTTTATTAAATTTGTGTTAAAAATTTTAAAACAAATCTTAAAACAGATGTAATATAATAATAATCTCAAAATGCTTTTAACAATTAATATTTTTATTTTTTCATGTAATGGAAAGTTCCCATTGGTAAAAATTTAAAAAAACCAAAAAAATAATATATATTTAATATATATATATATAAATATATATATATATATATAAAAATTTTATTTAATAAAGATTCGAGATTATGTTATATATTTGCACATTCTTTGCCTGGAAATGGATAAAAAAAAATTTTAAAGGGGAAAAAATTGATTAAAAAGACAGAAAAATTCATGTTTCATATTTTGAGAAAAAAAAAATTAAATCTATTTTACGTTATTTATTTTATAAAGTAAATAAATAAAAAAAAAAAAATATTTGAACCATTAAGTTTCTAATCAGACGACATTAAATTGACTATTGATAAACTTTGCCATTTGATTTTTTTGTAAAGTGGTTCAATTATACAATTCTGAAATCAAACCATTGAAAGATATAAATCAGGTGTTTTATTAGACATTAAACAATATAAGATTTTTAATTTAATTTTTTTTTTTTTTAAATTTAGATGCAATTTTTTTTTGAAGTTTAAATAAACAATAAATTAAAAAATTTTTTTTCCATTATTGGAATATTATTGTCCTCAAAAATATCACCATATTTATCACAAATTTTTGTCCATTTGTAAACGCTCCGGTTTTCTTCAGGTTTTGTGAATGTCGAACTGAAAGGAAACATAAGTTTTTCACTATTTTTAGACAATTTTCACAGTTCCAAAACATCAAAAATTTTTAACCAGTTATCTCTAAATAAACGTTTTGATATTTAATGGCGAGAAAAATGAGGCAAAATACATCGTTAAAATGAACAAAA